ACAACAAGTAGTTACTGACATCTGTCATCATTTAGGCATTGTTCTAGGAGCTATAGATAYAGTGAAGGATTTAAAAAAAAAAGTTTCTATTACCATGGAGCTCACATTCYAGTAGGAGAGACAATAACCAAGTAAACATGATCATCCAGCTAATGTCCTAGTTCATTTTCTGTAGCTGATAACATAATACCAGACTGGTAAGCTGTTTTTTTTTTTTTTTAAGGTTTATTTTAGTTCACCATTCTGGTCCAAAGTCAAGGGGCCACATCCCATGATGGCCTTCTCACTGGCAGAGTCCAGAGGCAGCACAAGGCATTATGTGGATATGGACAGGGAATACTGGAGTAACCTAGTCAAACCAGCTTTTATAGAAGATCCATTCTTGGGATAACCCATTAACCCATTAATCATATGAATGGCTTGATCCATTCATGGATGCAGAGCTCTAATCTTAAAGGTCCCAACTTTTATTTATTTATTTATTTTTAGTACTGGGTATTGAACCAAAGGGCACTATACCACTGAGCCACATCTCCAGCCTTTTTAAAAATATTTTGAGACAGGATCTCACTAAGTTACCTAGAGCCTCACTAAGATGCTGATGCTGGCTTTGAACCTGCTATTTTCCTACCTCAGCCTTCCAAGCCATGGGGAAGGTCTCAAGTCTTAATATCTCACAAGGGGCTTTAAATTTCAACATAAATTCTGGAGGGGACAAACCATATTCAACCTTAGCAGATAGTAAGTGCTCTGAAGATAAACACAACAGCTATTCTTTTATTTTAAATATTTATTTTTTAGTTGTAGTTGGATACAATACCTTTATTTATTTTTACGTGGTGCTGAGGATCAAACCCAGGGCCTCGCATGTGCTAGGCGGGCACACTACCACTGAGCCCCAGCCCCAGCCCACAATAGCTACTCTTAACAGTGACAAACTATGTGGGAGAAGGGTAACTACTTTGTATTTAGTAGTCAGAGAGGGTTGTTCTGAGAAAATGACATATAAAATGAGACCTAAATGACTACAAAAGTCTGAAGAAGCTGGGTGCAGTGATGGACACCAGTAATCGGAAGGCTGAAGCAGGAGGAATGCAAATTCAAGACCAGCCTCAGCAATTTAGTGAGGCTCAAAATAAAAAATAAAAAAGGGCTAGGCATACGGCAGAGTAATTAAGGACTTCTGGGTTCAATCACCATGCCACCCCCACAAATAATTGATGAAAAGGCAATCCAGAGTATATAGTTAAAGTCCTTCATTTAAAAGTAAGCTTTGTGTATATAAAAAAGAAAGAAGCCCAATGTAAATGAAATGCAGTGAGTGAAGGATAGGGTGGTTAGACATCATGGGAACAATGAAGAGTTTTTAAGACCATTTAATTGCTCAGGCTACTCTAATGGAGAACAGGGGTACAAAAGTGACATCAGGGAAACTAGGAGGCAATTGCAAGGTTTTAGGCATAGTGGTGGCTTGGAATAGAATGGTAGCAGGGCAAAAATAAATGGATGAATAAGACACAAGAGAACCTGAGGACTTGTAGATTGACTATGGAAAATGTAGGCACTAGTTTATTAAATAATCCCATTGACTCACTCAATGGTTTCCTCTCTGATAATCCATTGATCACTGACTCTTCTGACACGTGTCCTGATGAAGTGGTGAGTCTAGATGGCCTTATGTGTACCAGTTGACTCTATTACCCCTAGCCAAGAGAAGATATGTAACCCATTATAATTTCTCTCTCTGGGAATCAGAATTAGAACCYTTAGAAACTAAGTCAGTGTTGAGGAAAGGAACCGAAAGTTCAAGTAGTTTCAGAAAGAGGGGCCTCCATTTTAAAATGGCAATGATTTGCTATAAGAAGACAAGTAATCCAAGGTATCTATCTAGTCTTCTATACAAAGAAGAATAAAGCAGATATCCAAAGAGAAAGACAAGACACTGTTCCATCCTGGTAAAAAGCCTCATGAGCACTTTTTCAAAATAAGGGTTTTTTTACTTGCTGCTAATAGTTAAAACAAGGATAGCCCCAATTTATATAGGCTGCGTTCACACTTGTTCCTTTCTTTTTTTTTTTTTTTTTTTTTCCCTCAGTACTGGAGATTGAACCCAGAGGTGCTTTACCATGGAGCTACAATTCCAGTCCTTTAGAGACAGGGTCTCACTAAATTGCCCAAGATTGACCTTGAATGTACCATCCTGCTGCCTCAGCCTCCTGAGTAGCTGGGATTATAGGTATGTGCTATGGTGCCTGGCCTCATTTTCTAACTCTTTAGAAATAGTAGATAACTTATAATATTGATGATAATGCAAAATGTTTCCCATCCATAACAATAAAAATGATTCCTATTTTGGGTGATGCAAATGGATTTTGTCCAGTAGCAAACAGACATTTCTAAACATCAAGTCCTTGTTTGAACTGGTTTTAATATCTTACTGGTTTCCTCATTAATTAGAGAGTTTAAAATGTTTTTGAAATGTGTTCATTTTATATTTGTGTAAAATTTGTGATTTTATCTTTTTGAAAATTATCCTTTAACACAAATAACAAGACCTAACCCATACTAGCTACAGCCAAAAAAAAAAAAAAAAAAAAAATGAGACTATCTGGATGGATGGAAGAATAATATGTCATTGTAAGGACTTAGACTCTTCACTTTTGCCCTTTGGCCTGCAAATGTTTGATGGGTAGCTAAAAGCAGAATTAAAGACTTAGCATCCCCACCTCCAGCTTGTGTCCATCTTCTCTGTTCTGAGTCACCTTGTATTTCACAATAAGGTCTGATCCAAAAAACATCYTGTGATGAGTTCAAGACCCCAGGCAACAGCAACTTTTTTTCCCTGTTGGTATTAGGGATCGAAACCAGGGAAGCTTTACCACTGCCCTATTTTAAGCCCTTTTTATTTTTTATTTTGATACAAGGTCTCACTAAGTTGCTTAGGGCCTTGCTAAATTGCTGAGGCTGGCCTTGAACTTGTGATCCTCCAGCCTCAACCTCCTGAATCACTGGGATTACAAGTGTATGCCCACTACACAAAAGCAACTTTCTTACTAGAGTCAAGGCCCTCCCTAAAGAATCTTGAGATAATGATGGACTGACCACATTTTATCAAGATCACCTACTCTGGCATCTGTGAAAGGTTCCAGCTATGCAAAACTCCAACCCTTGCCCTCATTCCCCTTTCTATAAAACCTCAAAGTCACTGTCAGTCCCTCCAAGACAGAGCTAAGGATATGGGTTGCCTTTTATTCTCAGTGTAGCTATACTATTTCAAGTTCTTTTCATGCTTTTCACCATTACCAAAGTTTGTTTTTGGGGCAAGTGGCCAAACCTGATTTGATGGATCCTCAGAGTCAGGCCTTTAGCCTAGAGACTCCAGCAACATGTCTCTAGACAGAAATGAAATAAAAACAAAAGTCCTCCCCACCCAATAAATAAATAAAAAAAAAAAGAGGGATACACCATCCAGGGCAGGTATCAAGCTGAACATCAGCCAGCTTCTGGATAGCCCCCAAGAACCTAGGAAGTAGTCTCTTTTTGTCTAGATCTGGCTCTCCTCTGTACAACAGATGATGTTCCTTAGCAGACTGGTTTTCTGGTTATTCAGGCCATTTGGCAAGTAGAAGATGGATATCCACAGCCCTTGATATTCCATCAAGTCTAACCATGAGTAGGGGTATAGCTCTCTTTCTCCCAATTCCAAATTCTCAGGGAAGGGATTCTAATTGGCTTAGTTTAATTCCCTACCTGGGGTCATTTAATAGAGGGATCACACTGTGCAAATATGTGGCTTATCTCTTCCAATCCCCTCCCCTCTTCATCCTCATGTAAGTCCTCAGAACTCAATTTTATCTTGCCATCGGCATAAAGCCCTTCTGTCTCTCCACTATTTGCAGGAGAGTTCCAAATGTTTACTATGTCATAGGAGGCACTTCATCTTGAAATCCTGACCATCTCTCTGGGGCACTCTCCACTCTTTCCACACCTTAGTCCTACAGTTATTTTGCCCCTTGTCCTTTCTGCACATGCAGATTCCCCCACAACCTTTTACCTCCTACTCATTCTTCAAAACTCAGTTCCCAACACACACACAAATAAATAAACAGAAAACTCAGTTACCACCACTTTGTGAACCCGAGGATGCATTACATACTTGTGACACTTATTAGCTTCCTTGACTGTGATCAGACAAGGCTGGGAATCCTAGAGCATGGGGTCTCAGATGCTAGAGCATAGAACCTAGAATGGCTTTTTAAAAAAAAAAATTGAAATTATGGATTTTATTTAGCATGCCAATACAATTTAATCTGGTAATAARAATGGCTTCTGGGCKGGGTTTGTGGCTCAGTGGTAGAGTGCTTGCCTAGCATGCATGAGGCACTGGGTTCCATCCTTAGCACCACATAAATGTAAAATAAAGATACTGTGTCCACCTAAAACTAAAAAAATAAATATTAAAAAAATAAGAATGGCTTCTTCTTAGTGGACTTCCAGTAACTATCTGCTGAATGACCCCCGCCCCCAACCTCTTCTTGCTAAAAGTAACAGGAGACACAGGCATCCTGCCCTGAGGAGAGGCATGGGGTTTCAGATTYTCGGGGACTTCTTAATCCTGGATATGCATGGGTTACTTTTAAAAATATTAAAGCCTGCCTGGCGCCCTAGCACACGTCTGTACACGGGAGGCTGAAGCAGGAGAACCCCAAGTTTCAGCTCATCTTGGCAACTTATCAAGACCCTGTCTCAAAAGTAAAAAGGACTGGGGTTGTGGCTCAGTGGTAAAGCGCCCCTGGATTCGATCCCCAATACTCCGCCCCCCCCCCCCCCMCCACCAAATTAAAGCCTGGGCAACACCCAGCCCCCACCTTACCCTGCCACAGTGACTAAGTCAATTGGTCTCTGGTGAGGTCAGGCCTTGTTTTTTTTTTTTTTTTTTTTGTCTTTATACTTCCTCACGAACTTACAACGCGAGCTAGGATTCAATATCGTTGCTTTAGGCGAGGGTGGGAGCCCACACAAACCTGCCCTCCAAACCACCAGGCCGCTGCCCCACACTCCCGCGGGTTTCAGCGCTCGGCAACAAACAGCAGTACCACGCCGGACACCGCCCGCAGGGGCGGGGCGAGGGCCTCAGGAGGCGGGGCCACGGCTGCAGCCTCGCCGCTCCCCTCGCGGGAAAGCACGGCGCGTGACTCTGGTGCGCCCAACAAGGCGCGAGCAGGGGAGCTGGGCGAACACCTCGGGCCCAGCGGACCGAACCAAAGCGCGGTCCAGAAGGGCTGCACTAGGGCAACCCAGATCGGACCATCGGCACCACGTCGCAGGGGGGACCGGGCGTTTCCAACCCGTCTGGAGAGGAGGGGAACGCCGGCGTGCACCGCCTGCAACGCGACCCCTGGAGGGCGCGAGACGCTGCCGCTGCAGCCGCCGCCCGCGCGGAAGGACGAGGCTGAAGCGAGAAGCGAGGTAGGAGCGACTCTTCTGAGGCTGGCGGGATCCTGGAGACCCACTGCCCCCAAGTTTCAAGTGGCCCCTTGAACCAGGCCCTCTGCCGGCCCACCCATTCTGTCCTCAGCGCCCCCGGCCTGCCCCTTAGCCCTTCCCTCCCAGCCCCACCCTCCCGGCCGTCTCCAACCCTCTGGGTGGATCAGTCCCCAGTCCTTGGTCTGTATGGTCCGCGGAACCCTCAGACAGACATCCAGCACCTTTCAGCCTTTTGGGCACTACCCCAGATCTGTCCCCAACCGTCTTCTCAAACTGTCCCCGCGGAGAACCCCCGAGACCGACTTGCGTCCAGTAGTCATCCTTGTACCTAAATTTCCTGTGAAAGCCTTTGGGGAGGGGAGCGCGGCCGACGGGCACCCAGCCGGGGACTGCAGCCCGCGACTGCAGCGGGGACCACGGTGCAGCCAATTCCAGCCCGGGTCTTCGCGCCTTTGGCTCTTGGTTCCCAAGTTGGTCTCTACCCGGAGCAGGCTTTGGTTCTCCCTCTTTCCAGTTTTACCTGGGGAAAATCTTTGGCTTGGCAATTTGCCGGTTCCTTCGTACTGCCCTCATCTGCCGCGAAGGGCACAGTGATCCCGTTGCCCAAGGCCAACTGTGAACCGCCAGGCCAGCCCTAGCAGACATAAGGGACTGCTCTAGGAGGCAAAGACTCTACAATATTCATCTTTGTTTCCCCAGTCTCCAGCACAATGCCTGGCACATCGTAGCACTTATTAAATATCTTATTAGTAGATGAACGAATGAATCCAATGCAGAGGCGGTGGAACAGAGTACTTTGGTGGGAAGGGTGTTCCTCCAGTTATATGAAGTGGAGAGAGGAAGAACTTTTAGAGGATTACTTCAGTCTTTCTTCAGTTCTTTCATCTAATCATATAATTTCATTTACATAAGAGCTTCTGTATATCAGTTGTTTTCTGCTTCTGTTTACAAAAAAACAAAAACGGGCCGGCCTGGGGCTGCAGAAATTCTTTTTTTGTTTATTTGTTCTAATTTGTTATCTATGACAACAGTGCATTTCAAGTCATACATATAGAGCACAATTTTCATGTCTCTGGTTGTACACAAAGTAGAGTCACCATTCGTTCCTTCATACATGTACTTAGGGTAATGATGTCCATCTCATTCCAGCAGCTTTCCCTCCCTCCTGCCCCCTCCCTTTCCCTCCCTCCCCTTTGCCCTATCTAAAGTTCCTCCATTCCTCCCATGCTCCCCCCACCATCCCCATTAAGGATCAGCGTCCTCATATCATAGAAAACATTCAGCATCTGTTTTTTGGGGATTGACTTCAGAAATTAGTTCCTTAGAGGCTACCCAGGTAATCTTGAAAGAGCTTTGCCAGTGTTACTGCTCCTCTTCCCATGAGACTAGCTGCTCCCTCTGGGGAAGAATTCTGGAGGCCAGCCACAGCCCTTTAAAGCTGGCTCAGTGGAGCTGGTCAGCTTGAGCTTTGGGACAATTGGAGAAATGAAGAACCTCAGTTATTTTACCCTTTCTTTTGTTTCTGAATACCCCCTTCTTTTCAGAGACTGCTGGAATAGACATTCCATGCAGGCTGTAGTGTGAGAGATTGATTTCCCAAATGCTACTAAATTATGATTAAGCCAGGTGGACAATTTATGTCTCTTTGAACCACAGTCAGGYAAGGATTACCACTGTGTAGGACATTGTTGGTGATAAACAAGAACACAGGCCTTTTAAAGTTGGAATTCTCAAAGAAACATAGAGCCTAAAACCTGTTTTTGTTGATGATCTGAAAAGATTGCATTTCCTGAGGATAAGACAGGGTTCAAGGACCTCAGTTTTGGCCCAGGTCCAGAGGAAAATAGGTGGTATTACTGAGTGGTGAAACAATGGCCGGAAGACTGTAGGAGTTTATAAGGTAGGAAGTAGTTGCCTAAGTAGTGGTAGCATTATTGTTCATGGGCTCAAAGTCTTAGCAAATAAATACAGTGGTTGAGTGTGGCTCAGTGGCAGAGTGGTTGCCTGGCTTGGAGGTCTTGGGTTCAATCCCCAGCACCGTGAAAGGAAGGAAGGAAGGAGGGAGCAAAGGAGGAAAGAAAAAAGGAAGATAGAAAGAGATTGGAGTTTCTTAAGAGGCTCAGTAGATCTTAACGGTAGTAAGGTTTTAGGTTTTGTGGAAGGAAGGCAATTCCAATCAGTATCCCTGGTATCCTGTTACCTGTGTGTCCCTCCTGTTGCTTTGCCTTGGGACTACCATTATTTCCTTCTGCTTTCTTCTTAATTGAAGCCAAACCTGCCTTAACTGGTGGCTGGATGTGTTCTTACCCATTTCTAGCATTGATTTATCCTTTTCCGATTTTTTTCTGTCATCCTGTTATAAAGTAAGTTATATACTGTTATAAAGTGAGTCATAGATCATGGAAACCCTACATGAGGAGGGGCTCCTGAGCTGGATTAAGCAATATAATTTTTTTTGGTAACCAATACTTTTTTTGTTGTTGTTTTGGTACTGGAGATTGAACTCAGGGGCACTCAACCACTGAGCCACATCCCCAACACTATTTTGTATTTTATTTAGATCAGGGTCCCACTGCATTGCTTAGTATCTTGCTGTTGCTGAGGCTGGCTTTGATCCTCCTGTCTCAGCCTCCCAAGCTGTTGGGGTTATAGGCTTTCGCCACCTCACCTGGCTAACCAGTATGTTTTTAATGGACTTTCTGCATTTTCCTGTCTAGGCTCCCTGTTAAGGTAAGACATCAATAATCATAGAACACTCTAGATTATTTTATTTTCTCCTCACTTCCAGTACTTCAGATCATTGCCATATAAAATACAGGATGCCTAGTTAAATTTGAATTTCAGATAAACAGCAGAGAATCCTATATTTTTACTTGCTAAATCTGGCAACCCTAGTTCATAGAGAGGCTTATGTGTTCTCTCTGGGGCTTGCCTGCAAATATTTAGGACAATAACTCACCCTTTTCCTCCTATTACTCATACACAATGACTGTGCATCCTATTAAAACTCAGTTAAAGAGATAGCTCACTGCATGCTGGGGTAAGGGTAGGCTCTATAAGATGGTCTGATTGTTCAGCATTGAGATTACCCAGAAAACACCCACTCAAACACTGGCATGTAATATTTTAGCTTCTATCAAATGAGGCTGTGTTTGAGAGCATTTTTTGAGTGGCCAGATGTCAACATTGCTCTGAGAAAGCTGGCGGGTGTTGGGAGTGGGATTCTAACAAATATAACTCAGCATAAACTCTGTTGTACCAAATTTACTCTTTTTTAAAAAAATTATGGTAAAATATGTGTAACATAAAACTTACCGTTAAAGTAACATTATGTATATTCACACTATTGTACAAACATATCACCATCCATTTCTAGCACTTTGTTCAGCTTTCCAAACTGGGACTCTACCAATTAATTGGACACTAACTCCGCACTTTCCCCCATTTCCGTTTCTGGAACCATCACTCTACTTTCTGTCTTTGTGAATTTGACTGCTCTAGTTACCCTCATGTAAGTGGAATCATATGATATTTATCCATTTGGACTGGTTTATTTGACTGCAGGTAATGTCTTTAAGGTTCATTCACATTATAGCTTTTATCCGAATTTCCCTCCTTTTTTAAGGCTAAAAAGTTTCCATTGTATATAATATTCCACTGTATGTGTGTATTTATACACCACATTCTGTTCACCCATTTTTTGTTCATGGACACTTGGGTTACTTGTGCCTTTTGGCTATTATGAATAATGGTGTCATGATCATGAGTGTGCAGATATGTTCTTCAGCAAACATAAGTTCTTGCTTTCAGGTTTTAATGTAATTACAGAATCATATGATAGTTTTATGCTTAATTTTTTTGAAGAACCACCATACTATTTTCCACAGTGACTAACTATATCATTATCTATTCTCAGCAGCAGTGTGCATGGTTCTGATTTTTCATGGTTCTGATTCTTGCCAACACTTGTTATTTTCTGATTTAAAAAGAAAAACATCCTAATGGGTATAAAGTAGTTTATTATTGTGGTTTGATTTGCATTTCTATAATTATATATATCTTTGGAGAAATGTCTTTTTAAGTCCTTGCCTCATTTTGAACTGGGTTGTTTTCTGTTGTTGAGATATAAAGTTCTTTATATATTTTGGATAATAATCCATCATCAGATACATGATTTGTGCATTTTCTCTCATTCCATGGATTACGTTTTCACTCTGTTGATAATGTCCTTTTATGTACAAAAGATTTTAAAGTTGATGAAGTCCAATTTATCTATTATTTTCTTTTGTTGAATGTACTTTTGAATCATAGGCAATCATTGCCAAATTCAGTGACATCAGCTTCTATCATTGTCTAAGTTTTTTTTTAATATAGTTTTAGTTCTTATGTTTAAATCTTTGATTCATTTTGAGTTAATTTTTATACATGATTCAAGATAAAAGTTCATTGTTTTGCATGTGGATATCCAGTTTTCTCAACACCATTTTTTGAAAAGACCATCCTTTCTCCATTGAATGGTCTTCTCATCCTTGTCAAAAATCATTTGACCAAATATATAATTTCTAGGCTGTTTTTCATTGGTTTATATATCTATCTTTGTGCCAGTGCCATTACTATCTTGATAACTTTAGCTTGGTAGTAAGTTTAGAAAAATCATGAAGTACAAGTTCTCCAATTTTGTTTTTCTTTTTCAAGATTGTTGTTTTGGCTATTTAAGATCACCTGAGATTGCATATGATTTTTTTTTTTCCGGTACTAGGGATTAAAACCAAGGTGCTGTACCACTGAGCTACATTTCTAGCGCTTACTCACTTATTTTTATTTTTTAATATTTTTTTTTATTGTAGACAAACACAATACCTTTATTTTATTTATTTATTTTTATGTGGTGTGAGGATTGAACTCAGTGCCTCACATGTGCCAGGCAGGTGCTCCACCACTGAGCCACAACCCCAGCCCCTACTTACTTACTTTGTTTATTTATTTTTGTTTTAAGACAGAGTCTCACTGAAATTCTGAGGCTGGCCTTGAACTTATGATATTCCTATTTCAGC